GTATCTCAATACTAATCTAGTATCTCAAAATTCTTCTCAATACTAATCTATTGCATAGACATACCACTTAATCCTTTTGAAGTCTGTACATCTCAGTCTTTCATCCCACGCCTCCTCTACGCGTATGTGCGTCGTGTTGTAAGTAAGAAAGAAGCTATTACAAAACGATCACGTATTGTCCAAATAGCCGATTTCACCTCACCTCAACCCAGAAACCTGTTATCGATGCTGTCTTCTCCCTATGATGTCCCAGTGGCCACTGAGAGTAATTCGAGATAACAGCTAACATCACATCGGCATTATTTCAGCGATGAACTATCATTGTTCATACACCAAACCTTTAAAAGTCAGGGACGATGGAGTGACCTAGTGGTTAAAGCGTTCGCTCTTCACCCCGAAGACCCGGGTTCGATTCCAAGCATGGGTGCAAATTGTGAAACATCCGCCGTGATATTGCTGGAATATTGCAAAAGGCTGCGTAAAACTAAACTCACTCACTCCCCTCCCATTACAAATCAAATTACAAATAAAAGAGGACTTGTCATACAATTAATTGGTTATTTCTGAAAGGCACATGACTCACCAAACCGCCGGGCCAGGAAATTTGCGATGGCCATGCTCTGCCCGTACTGTTTTCCGTCTACCTCCAGCACCGGAAGTCTGCCGAACACGTACTCTGGAATGAAACAAAACTAAAACCCTGCATGCTGTGTTTTATCGTTTAAACAGTTGTCATAGTAGCATTCCATGTTCTTCCCTGCATGAAACTCTTCGATTCGTCGTATTAGATGACCGTTCCACGGTTAAACGCTAAATGGAATCCACGATCCTGTCACGGCAGATATTGTCACGGCAGACACCACTCACTCACTCAACCACTCACTCAACCATTCACTCAACCATTCACTGAACAGATAACTCACGCAACCATTCAGTCAACCACTCACTCAACCAACCATGCCACCATTCACACAACAACTCACTCAACCAATCACCCATCCATCCACCCAACCAACCACTCACTCAACCACTTAACCAGTCACCCAACCATCCACCCAACCAACCACCCAACCAACCACTCACTTAACCACTCAACCACACACTCACCCACTCACTCACTCACCAAACCACCCAGCCACTCACTCACTAAGCCCACTCAGCCTACTCACTGCCTTTCTGCGCTGGCCAGTCTTTCATCTTGATTCTGACGTCTTCATATTCCTGTCCCGCGAGTACGAACAGCAGCCGCGACAGCTCCCCACGTCCACGGAAGTCAAAGTAAATCAGCTTGTATTGAGGCATGTTTGCTCCGACTAGCTCTCTCCACAGCGGTGACACAAGTGATGCAAAAGGACCAGTCTCCCCTTTAAATAGATTACCCGTTCAGCGTGACTGGACTACATTAGTCAAGGTCGACGGAGCGCTGCTCGTATTGGAGGAGACTATAGCAAATATACCCAATCTACTCGCCACCATGTTGCTAAATCAAATCGGGAAACAAGTCATGATGAGCTTTTCGTGTATCACGTGTTGGTACTCTATCACGTCATATGAGTTTAAACTAGCTTTATTATACAAATTAAGTGAATGGCGGTTCTGCCGATGTGGAAGAGTAAAACCACTCCCTAAATTTTACACACTCACCGCGTTGAATACAACATTGTCTGGTATGACTTCCCCTGACTTAAATGCTACATACTATAGTATGGCCCGTCCTGTGGTAAATACTGCATTGTCTGGTGTGACCCACCCTGACGTAAATACTGCATTGTCTGGTGTGACCCACCCTGACGTAAATAGTGCATTGTCTGGTGTGACCCACCCTGACGTAAATACTACATTGTCTGGTGTGACCCACCCTGACGTAAATACTACATTATCTGATGTGACCCACCCTGACGTAAATACTTCATTGTCTGGTGTGACCCACCCTGACGTAAATACTTCATTGTCTGTTGTGACCCACCATGACGTAAATAGTGCATTATCTGTTGTGACCCATCCTGACGTAAATAGAGCATTGTCTGTTGTGACCCACCCTGACGTAAATACTTCATTGTCTGGTGTGACCCACCCTGACGTAAATACTGCATCATCTGGTGTGACCCACCCTGACGTAAATGCCTGGTGGCTTAGTATGACATAACCCACACTGACTTAAATACCGCATAGTGTAGTATGACCCACCCAGCCAAAATACCGCATAGTGTAGTATGACCCACCCAGCTTTAAATACCGCATAGTGTAGTATGACCCACCCAGCTTTAAATACCGCATAGTGTAGTATGACCCACCCAGCTTTGAATGACCCACATTTAAATGTGTAGTATGACCCACCCAGCTTTAAATACCGCATAGTGTAGTATGACCCACCCAGCTTTAAATACCGCATAGTGTAGTATGACCCACCCAGCTTTAAATACCGCATAGTGTAGTATGACCCACCCAACGTTAAATAGCCTTAGCTTTAAATACCGCATAGTGTAGTAGTAAATACCGCATAGTGTAGTATGACCCACCCAGCTTTAATAGTAGTATGACCCACCCAGCATAGTGTGTAGTATGACCCACCCAGCTTTAAATACCGCATAGTGTAGTATGACCCACCCAGCTTTAAATACCGCATAGTGTAGTATGACCCACCCAGCTTTAAATACCGCATAGTGTAGTATGACCCACCCAGCCTTTAAATACCGCATAGTGTAGTAATGACCCACCCAGCAAATACCGCATAGTGTAGTATGACCCACCCAGCTTTAAATACCGCATAGTGTAGTATGACCCACCCAGCTTTAAATACCGCATAGTGTAGTATGACCCACCCAGCTTTAAATACCGCATAGTGTAGTATGACCCACCCAGCTTTAAATACCGCATAGTGTAGTATGACCCACCCAGCTTTAAATACCGCATAGTGTAGTATGACCCATCTAGCTTTAAATACCGCAGCTTAGTGTAAATGACCCGCATAGTGTAGTATGACCCACCCAGCTTTAAATACCGCAAATACCGCATAGTGTAGTATGACCCACCCAGCTTTAAATACCGCATAGTGTGATATGACCCACCCAGCCTTAAATACCGCATAGTGTAGTATGACCCACCCAGCTTTAAATACCGCATAGTGTAGTATGACCCACCCAGCTTTAAATACCGCATAGTGTAGTATGACCCACTCCAGCCTTAAATACCGCATAGTGTAGTATGTAGTATGACCTACCCTTAGCCTTAAATACCGCATAGTGTAGTGTGACCTGACCCAGACTTTAAATACTAAATACCGCATAGTGTAGTATGACCCACCCAGCTTTAAATACCGCATAGTGTAGTATGACCCATCCAGCTTTAAATACCGCATAGTGTAGTATGACCCAAATACCAGCTTAAATACCGCATATGTAGTATGACCCACCCAGCCTTTAAATACCGCATAGTGTAGTATGACCCACCCAGACTAAATACTGCATTGTAGTATGACCCACCGACCAGCCTGTAGTATGACCCATCCAGTAAATACTGTAGACTGTAGTGTGACCGACCCAGACTAAATACTGCTTGGTGTAGTAGACTAAATATTGCATATTGTAGCATGGCCTACACGGACTGCATAGTCTGGTATGATCTACTTGGACTTGAATGGCAAAGTCAAGTCTATTCTTCGTGGTATGGCCACTGGCCCATTTACGAAGAAAGTGCATACATAATATGTTGCAGTAAAACATAACTTTGTGTAGATATTACGTTAAAATATTTCAGTATTTTAATAACTATTTTAAAATGTTTCAGAACTTTGAAAAAGATTTTGACAGACACAAGAATTCCGAAAATATTCCACCCGTGAAGGTCCGGGTTAGAATGAACCTTCAGTAACCCGTGCTTGTCGTAAGAGGCAACTAATGGGATCGAGTGGTCAGGCTCGCTGGCTTGGTTGACACATGGCATCGGTTCCCAATTGCGCAGGTCGATGATCATGCTGTTGATCACTGGATTGTCTGGTCCAGACTCGATTATTTACAGACCACCGCCATATAGCTGGAATATTGCTGAGTGCGGCGTAAAACTCAACTCGCTCACTCACTCCGAATTTATTCAGTATATAACAATACATTTTAATCAGATGGATGTGTCTAATGTAACACAGTTCCTATAGGTATTACGTATTCAGGTCATTACATATTCAGGTTTCTATTCTAGAAACGTTCGTAGCCCTAAGAATTCTTAGCTTTGATCTTAGTCAATGTAATGTGTTAAAAATGGGCTTCAGAAGTTCGTATACTACGAACGGTTGAGAATAGCCAGCCGGCTGTCGAATTCAAATATCCCTCAGCCGCCATTTTGGCTTGAGAACGAGGTGAAGTGAAATGGGGTTTAACGTCCTACTAAAGAATATTTCGCTCATATAACGACGTGCATGCGTGTGTATGTGTGGCTGCTTGTACTAGCCCAGACGTAAGCTGGTTTTATAGTGCTAGCTCACTGAGATACCACGCCGCAGTTAAGCATGAATACTCCACTCAGATACATTATACTGACTCCGAGCCGACCAGTCCTTGTTATACCCATTAATGCCGATCTCCAGGCAGGGCCAACAAGTACCATATTTTAACGTCTTTTGGTATGACGCGACCGGGGATCGAACCCGCGACCTTCCGCTCTCCGGGCGGAGGTTTGAGAACGGAGCAACCTGAGCCAATGATTGGTGTATTACAAGCGGCTGAAAGTTAGCGCTCCTTCTTATCCATAGGCGGATCCAGAGGGGGGCCGCCAGGGTGCGGTACCCCCTTTTGTCCTGAAAGTTTATTAAATGACCATTGAAACTCTGGTGAAAATGAAGTGTGCAACCCTCCTTTTCTAAATAATGTGACACACACACACACACACACAAACACACACACACACACACGCACGCACGCACGCACGCACGCACACCTTTCTCAAAAAAGCTGTATCCACCCCTGTTATCACCACGTCTATTACTGAACTCATGAGACAAGTCAGTATGCCTTTCATATAAGATTTTTAATACACATGAACATATATACGGCTGTGACATGTATGGTTCGTTTGCTGCCATTTCCCAATCTGTGTGTGATCCGATGATAAATTTCCATTATGGATTATGCAAGAGGATATACATCTCTGTTAGGTAACCAGTGATAACTGTGGACACAAGAGTCGTATTCCACTGAGAACACCGCTACATGGCCGTAGGGACCCTTGCTGCCAGATAGGCCTCGATTCTGTCGTTGGATTTGACGTTGTTCATGACGGCCTTGACATTGGGGTTCTTGTCGATGATGTCATCTTCTACCCTCCCGTCAAGGGTATCGTAGATAACAAGGTCACCGAGGCTCAACTGAAAGATTTGTTAAAATATATAGTTGCACCTTGTTATAACGATCGGTTATGCAAGAGCTTCTGTATATATGAAGATAGTGCTATGGAGGAAGTTAGAAGAAAGGTTTTCAATAATGCAGGTTAGAAGCTAATGTGCTGAATAATATAAAAAAGTAAAAGAATTGTGGCTATCGTATCTGTCACGAGTGGACATTTTATTTCGATAAAAAAAGAATATGTGACGAAGAAGTTTAAGCATTGTTTGTTTTGTTTGCTTGTTGTTTTACGCCGCACTTAACAATATTCCAGCTGTATTGGCGACGGTCTGTAAATATTTGAGTCTGAACCAAACAATCCAGTGATCAACATCATGACCATCCGATCCCTTCAGTCGCCTCTTAGGACAAGCATGGTTTGCAAAAGTCCAATTCTAACCCACATCTTTACGGGTCGTTAACAACTGCATTCATATCATTTATATGCAATAGATATACAATAAATCCTAGCTCGTTCCTAGCTCCTACCAAACATCCTCTGATTGAGACCGTTTCTTAAATATACTCATGTCAATAATGGTTGTCACCCCCACCTCACAGCCCCACCGCACACCCCCTATCCAATTAAAAAAATTGAAGGGGGTGACAACCATTATGGGCATGAGTATATTACAAGTTACATATTATTTGCGCTTCTGAGTCAACAACCATGGATGGTTGATTGTTATTTTATTTTTTATGTGTGTGTGTGTGTGTGTGTGTGTGTGTGTGTGTGTGTGTGTGCGTGCGTGCGCGTGCGTGTGTGTGCGTGCGTGTGTGTGTGTGTGTGTGTGTGTGTGTGTGTGAATTTGTTGGTGTGGATATTACAGGCCTTCCACAGAGATATATTCACAGACACCTACGTCAGTTGACTAGATTGTTTCGCTTAAACCATTTGTTAAAACAATCAGGTGTTTGTGACGTTTGAAAAATGGACAAACATGAAGAACGTGCAGTAATCAAATGCTTTCAGAAAATGGAATTGACACCAAAAATATCCCTGGAGATAAGACAACACCACTTAGGTAGACTTCGCATCCAGTGTCATTGGGAATCGTAAGTAAGAATATTTTGGTAAGAGTTTCATGTTCCGATCGTTATTTGAAATGACTGACGTTACAAACCAATAACATCGGTGAATAGGGACAAGTGCAACCATTAAATACTTCTTTCTGAAGTAGATCGCACTGTTACTTTTTGTAACCATAAAACACACAAAAACTGTTCTCCTTGTCATAGGCATGTGTGTCGTAATGATGGTAATGATCATTATAGTGCATCATCAGTTTATTACTGAATTATATAAATTTGATTTGAGTGATTTAGCTTACCGTCTCGCCAATGCAATAACCGTTACCCTTGGCAGACAATACTTTCTCGAGGTTTCCGACAATTCTTGGTTTCGTTTTTTCTTTCAGGTTCCGCTGTATTTCTGCCTATGACATAAAATATATGTTTGTTTTATATTCTGACAAGTTGAACGTCGCCTGCAAAAGAATTTCTTTTGAATCATGGCGTTTCAACTAAGTGATGGAGGAATCCCTATCTCGTGGGATGCATGACTAATGATACAGTGGCATAAAACCATGGATGAGAATCAAAGTAAATTTGGGATTCGAACCACTACATGTCATATCTCCTTACAGTGCATGAATTAAACCAGGTGGCATATTTCGCAATTATTCCTGGTATAATAGTTCATGACTTTAATAATGTCATACGAACCATGAAACCTTACACGCCATGTTTGAGATGTATAACTTACAGTTACTTTAAAAGCATTAATAGAACGTTCTACGTGTATGCCTCATTTCAATTATGAAATCTGACACAACATGTTTGAGATATATATTGTTTTATTGTGTTGTTTTATGGTTACTTATAAAACATAAATTTAACATGTTCATGATGTCATAGCAATCCTGAAATCTAACACGTTTGAGATATATAGTATACAGTTACTTGTAAAACATTAATAAAACATGTTCTATGCCTCATTTCCATCTCACACAACATGTTTGAGAGATAAAGTTTACAGTTACTTGTAAAACATAAATAAACATGTTCTATGTGTCATTTCAGTCATGAAATAATAATCTGACAGAAAATGTTCGAATTATATAGTTGTACGGTTACTCATAAAACATAAGTAAAACATGTCCATGATGTCATATCAATCCTGAAATTTAACACGTTTGAGATGCATAGTTTTAGAGTTACTTATAAAACATTAATAAAACATGTTCTATGCCTCATTTCAATCTGACACAACATGTTTTAGATGTGTAGTTTAACAGTCACATATAACATTAATAAAACATGCACTACGTGTCATTTCAATCCTGAAATATTAATCTGACACAAGATTTTTAGATATATAGTTTTAAAGTAACATTAATAATACATGTACTACATGATAGAACACTTTTCATCAAACAAACACGCTTTGCTTTTCAGGTTTTGTCAACTTTTGCAACTGCATGGTGTTCTTACCTTCCGGTCACTATCCTGTTCAAAGAACTCTTTGACTAATTCTAGAAAGAGGTCATGGCACATGCCGGTGATCTGGTCTATTTCGTACTCCTCCTGGTTGTTGGAGCCATAAAACCCTGTATTGGGATAGAAAGTAAAAAAGTAAAAGTAGAAACCAGGTTATCCTATCGTCTACTGGCTTTCCAGTTCGCAGTACAGGCTTTGGCCTCTTAGCCTTGTCGGAAGCCTATGATTGGGGTTTGACCTCCATCCTCCTAGATTATGGTTCTTTGTCTGTCAGCATCCTCCCCTTGCTTATTTTCCCCAAAACCTGCAGAACTGTATCACTTCGGATTGCTCTCCCACAAAAGGATGGATCCAGTCTGGATTATTTACAGACCGCCGCCATATACCTGGAATATTGCTGAGTGCGGCCTTAAACAACAAACAAACAAACAAACAAAACAAACAGCATGAATATAAAATTATAAAATGCCATGATATAACTGAAATGGCCTTTCCCAAACGTCAACAGCAAGTATAAATCTATTAATCACGAGCACAAAGTGAAAGTAAATTCCAAATTCTTGAAGGAACCAGTGACTTCTGATGATCTTCAGTTTTTGAACTGATATGACGATCGGGATTTTAAATTCCTATTTCGTATTTTTTCAGTTTATCGAACTGAAATCAACATTAGTTCTTTTCATGTTGTTATTTCAATAACAACGGTATTTAACTGACTGACTGACTGACTGACTGAGTTTGGTTTTACGCCGCTTTTAGCAATATTCCAGCAACATCACGGCGGGGGACACCAGAAATGGGCTTCACACATTGTGCCCATGTTGGGATTCGAACCCGGGTCTTCGGCGTGAAGAGCCAACGCTTCAACCATTAGGCTACCCCACCGCCCCAACGGTACTTAATGAATATGGTACGTTATATTATCATTATTGGTTTGTAAATGTTAGAAGTACAATTTTAGGGATTACCGAATTCTTTGGCAAGGAATTTGGCAATGGCCAGACTCTCGGTGTACTCTTTGCCATCGATTGTCAGCACCGGCATCTTGCCAAAGGGAGTATCTGAAACAGTGTAATATATAAATATAGCATATATTAATTATTGGTATTTATTATCTATATTGTTGAAATTGAGGGGTAAATACGTATTTGAATAGTGTGTTTTGTTAGTGAGTATGAAAAGGTAAACATGTATGTATCTGTACATGTACTATCTCTGTTCAGGTATTTGCCATCAGATATTGTGAGAATAAATACAGGAACTCGAAATATGTTTTCATTTCAAACCGTATTCAGGTGGGGAATTTGGAGGTTGGTCGTAAGTGGCGAATAATGGATAGGGTGTCCACACTCGGTGACTTGTTTGAGTGGTTTTAACGCCGCACTCAGCAGTATCCCAGCTCTATGGGCTGTAAATAATTGAGTCTGCACCAGACAATCCACACAACACGAGACAACACGAGCCTTCTTCCTACCCAAATCAAAGATTCGGATCTTTGGATCTGGGACACTACGGCAAAACCGTCACTTAGGATAGGGCTTGTTTTGTCAGTAGCGGGAGCAACGGGCTGGTCGTCACCCCATGTTAACAGCATAAGCATCGATCTACGCAATTGGGATGCGATGACTTGTCACCAAATTCAGAGAGCCTAACCAACCGACCCGGTTCGTCGCCTCTTGCAAGTATGAGTTGCTGAAGACCAATTATCTCGGTGACTCGGGTTATGTATGTCATTTAATCCAGCTTGCGTGATTTGAAGCTAAAAATGGCGTTCTCCAGCTAATCTGGTTCAGATTCGATTATATAGGGTCAATTGTAACACGGGGCAATTGTAACAAGGGCGATTACTCTAAAAGTTTTCGCTCAAGCATTGAGGTGAGTAGAGTTATTTCCCTTTGCTTTCCTACGGTACACATCCGGGTGTTTTTCAGCTGCTCGCTCATGACGAGATACAGTAGACGAAAAATCCTTTTTTACATAAGAAAGTAAATTTTTCACAAAACGTAATAAAACGTTCTTAATGCAGTAAATGTTGCTTGGTATGAAATTAACTTTTCAAGTGTAAAATTGAGGTATTACGACTTATTTTATGGTAGATATATTTGAGAAGCCCAAAGTTGTTAACATGTGACGTGGCAAGAAACATGGCTACTAGCATCGGGGGCAATTGTAACACTGTGTTACAACTGCCCCCATGTAATTTTCCCTTATGTTATGATAATGAAGCAAATTATGATGTCGGTGTTATGTTAGTTCTTTACTAGTTTCATCATAGTAGAACATTTTCAGTCTTATGTTGATAGTATCAGCCCTCGGGTGAAAGTTTTTGGTGTTAGTCTTTGTATTATATTTTGTGCATACGAAAACAAGAATTTTAAACTAAAAACATTTTAAATGTCGATGGTGGCAATGGTTTAATGTTAATCCATTTCCACCTCAATTGATCAAGGTAACATCTTTCCACATTTCATTTTGATTTTATTTGGAAAATAAACAGATTCTTACATTCGAACCTTCTTTGTTACAATTGCCCCATCCACCTGTTACAATTGCCCCGTGCTCGGGGTCAATTGTAACACTTGCAGTCATTGCATTTGATACGTAATAACTTTGTAACAACATGATCGTGAACTTGAAACGACACTGAGGTTTAAAGCCAAGAAGCCAATGTATTAGTTAGTACCGATAAACTTTGTGAGCGGTCGACTAATATCGAATTACATGTTTTACAATTGACCCCGGTCTCCCCTACAGACCGCCGCTATACAGCTGTTACATTGCTAAGTACGGTATTACACAATAAACAATCAAAACTTACACCGTGAATACCGTAAGACAAAATCACGAAACATTTTATATCTGATTTATTTTAAGAAAATAATCTAAAACCATTTGCTTTTGCATTTTTGCATCCTACCCTGCAGAAGCCTATTCACATGAATAATGTAACACTTCACATAAGAAACTGCAGTAAACGTTTCTGAATGTAATAACCAAACTGATGGCCTTGAAATGGATATTGTGAGTCGACACGAGTAACGATCAGGCAAATTATACCAACCATGTGATCATGATCGTGGCACCAGATGTTGGGTAATATGTTATTGAAAACCTAGCTGAATATTAAACACTCACGAATGAGTCATTCTCATTTCACATCATCTAATGACTACGAGTAACACGTGTGACTGACAATGTGTCATGGAGTTTAGGAGCTGTACGGAATTTACAAAACTGACTGTCGAGGGTTGGGTATACGTAAAGGTTCAGCTCGTAAAGGGTGGTGGGGTAGCCTAGTGTTTAAAGCGTTCGCTCATCCCGTATTCAGCTGTATATGTTCATCCCGTATTCAGCTGTACATGTTCCATCATGTATTCAGCTGTACATGTTCATTCCGAAGTCAGCTGTAAGATTTATGATTATGACATATTTGTGCACGTTTTCACCAAAGCCACGACTTACGCTGTACTCACAATAATGTAAATACAGGCTAGACATCAACTGGACATCAACAAAGACAATGAAGTTACCATCAGAGACATGCCACGTAAACACCATGCATGCTTACTGTGATATAGACCCGTGAAGATCCGGGGTAGAATAGGTCTTCAGCAACCCATGCTTGCCACAAAAGGCGACAATGCTTGTCGTAAGAGGCGACTAAACGGGATCGGGTGGTCAGGCTCGCTGAATTAGTTGACACATGTCATCGGTTCCCAGTTGCGCAGATCGATGCTCATGCTGTTGATCACTGGATTGTCTGGTCCAGACTCGATTATTTTCAGACCGCCGCCATATAGCTGGAATACTGCTGAGTGCGGCGTAAAACTAAACTCCCTCACTCACTAATGTGATATATCTCGATATTTCTGTAATCTGATTGCACTGGCCTGCATGGAACAACATCTTTGAATGAGTTAAAACAAACATCGGTTCCAAAGAGGCGCCATCTTTCCATGTTACAAAGCGTGCTTTTTGGAGGTAAGTGATTAATGATTGGTATGTAATTTTTTAAGTAGTTACATGGAATAAACGATATCCCAGGACTTGACAGCATCAACATCAGCTGCAGCAACGTGGTGACGACGACTACAGGTGCCCACGGTAACAACGGCAGCAGCATTACCGCTGGCAAGTTTCAACCGCGAGATGTGTCGATACAAGCGCCCAATATAGGAATGTCTGGTATGTCGATAGCCGTGGTGGCCTGATTTCCCATTGACCTTTGTCCATAAACACTGACCGTCACCGGACACCAACATCGGCTTTAACAGGTATAGATTTCATAGATCCGAGACCATCCTGTACATTTATCCCAGAAAGATATCATTGTAGCCTAAAGTACGGCTATATCAGGGTATGTTTACCGCATCGTTTAAATAACATTCAAAAAAGGTGTTGGTTGGTTGTTTAACGCCGCACTCAGCAATATTCCAGCTATATGGTGGCGGTCTGTAAATAATATAATCAGGGCCAGACAAGTGGATTGATTGTTAAAATGTATGAGTTGATAGCGAAGAGTGAGTGAGTGAGTTTTAGTTTTACGCCGTTTTTAGCAATATTCCAGCAATATCACCAGACACCAGAAATGGATTTCACACATTATACCCATGTGGAGAATCGAACCCGGGTCTTCGGCGTGAGGAGCCAACGCCAACCACAAGGCTACCCCACCGCCCCTGCCAGCAAAGAATATATATTACCGCATTGCAATGTGAGACACAATTCAGTGAAGTAAACATGTTATGAAAATAGTCTCTTGTGCAACCTTGTGGTAAACGTCGACTCGACTAGCCGAAGGCCAAGGATCCATTCTCAAATTGGTACACCGCACGACGCCATTTGTGCCCAAGGCCGATCTGTCCCTGCTATATGACTAAAAGCGGCGTCAAATTTCATTCAGTCGATATTCGGTACAAGCTGCTACCGCGACCCGAGGCTAACAGATCATTCAAATGTTCATGATCATCGAATCGGAATTAACTATATAGATATATGACGCATGGATCATCCGTGGAAAGTGGTTCCGATTCGCTAAACATCCAAAATAGCTGTTATGAATTAAGCGACTGAATCGCTGAACGTCAGTGATCTTGATGCAGCAGTGTGCATCCCGCCATCACTGATACAGTAACGTGCAACATATGATACAGGATACAGTAAAGGAACAACACTCACTGGGTTTTATGGCATGCCATGTTTCATGCGTGACTCTCTTGTCTTCAAATTTCTGTCCTTGCAGTGTGAACAAGAGTCGGATCACCTCCGCCCGACCCCTCCCATTAAAGTACAGCAGCGAGTAGGAAGTCATGGCGGACCTGACTGGTGGTGCGCGAACAGAATGAGGCAGGGAGCTGCAAGGCTTTGTATTATGTATCTGTATATGACCCCCTCTAGCCTTGCTCCAAGGCTGTACTGAATGCTGAGCCCATAAGGGACCGTTCGTAATCTCTGGCTGGGGTGTGTGATGATGATTTTTTATGGAGAAGAATGTACAATGTGAATGATCCTCCCCTAAAATTTATGTACAAAGTAAGTAACACCCCAACCCCCCAACCCCCGCACGTCAAGTACAAAAGCAATTACCCCCTCCCCCTCATAATTTTCAAGCATAACTTTTGTGCGGAGCTGGGGTTGGTCTGTTTAGCTTCCTGTACTCGGAGCTGGCTGTGATGGTCATTTTTTATATTGTCCGTGTTTCTTTAAGGCCAGACTACACACATGTACATGAATAGCTGTTGATGGGTTAGTTAATTTTTAGGAAAATATAACGTAAATATAGAGGTCAATGGGAAAGTGGTTTGTTTTGTATAACCTTCAGTTTCAGCTTCGTCCGACGAAGCTATGTAGGCGAATGGTTCAAATGTGACTGGCACCAGAATGGGCAATATTATGCTTTTGGTAGTCTGGAAGAGTGACGTCATAATCAATAAAACCCAGCCCCAATATTTGTAAGTAATATGTGTGTTTTTCTTAAATACCCGTGAAGATCCGGGTTAGTCGTCAGCAACCCATACGTGTCGTAAGAGGCGATTAACAGGATCAGATGGTAGATCGATGCCCGTGATGTTGATCACTGGATTGTCTGGCAAAGACTCGATTATTTGCAAACAATACAACTGGAATATGCGGCTTTAAACAATAAACAACAAAACAAGTGGGTGCGGTTTTCAAATGGGATAACGACACTCCGAATAACACCCTGATAACTAGTGGTGGAATGACATCCAAAGGACAACCGCAATCTACTAACAAAATGTTAGGTCAACATCAGGGAGAGGCAGGTCATTTGCTTGTATTGTGTGACAATGCCCTCATGATTTTATATTGTATAGTGTCAGTGTCTGCCCTTAACCCTGAAAAGCTGCAGGCCCTAAGGACCCAGAACCATATCAAGTTGTGGGTCCTGATCAGAACTTGTAGGCACTATTTTTTAGCTACAATATAAGTAATTCCCAGTAAATAAAAAATGTAACAACCAACAAACTGAGTTAAAAAAAAGATCATATATCAGTAATCTAAATTGCTTCCTCCAAAATGATAGTCGTTTCACTTACAGAAAAGATATGCTGATCGAGATAAAATCGATAAATTACTGAATGATATTTTCTGTAAAATAATACTCTTAGTTATTGGGGTAGAAAAAGCTGTCGGCCATAAGGACCTGCAGAAAACGAGTGCTGTGAGTCGGAATGGTTTTCAGTCGGCTTCGGACCTAAGGACGGACGTTAATTTCGAACACTGTGTGTTTCAAACAAGAACTATGACTGCTTGGATTATTGTTGAAAGTTGTTTATATTTTCATCTTAAATCAAAATAATATGCGAGTGAGTGAGTTTAGTTTTACGCCGCACTCAGCAATATTCCAGCTATATCGCGGCGGTCTGTAAATAATCGAGTCTTGACCAGACAATCCAGTGATCAACAGCATGATCATCGATCTGCGCAATTGGGAACCAATGACATGTGTCAACCAAGTCAGCGAGCCTGACCACCCGATCCCGTTAGTTGCCTCTTACGACAAGCATTAAAACAATATGTAGCAAGTGTAGGATAGTACAGGGGCTCAAACACGTCGTGTCAATCAAGGGCACATAACTCTCGCTGGTACCTTCATAGGCCCCCTAACGGTGGGCTCAGGATAAATACGCTTTGGAACATTTGAAGTGTTACTGTTTGAAATGCCAAAGAATGTACTAGTTCTTATTATTGAAATTAATGAATATAGTCACAAAGACGTTTTAACATGTTGATTTTAAACACAACTGAAAGAATTGCAAGGGTGTATTCTTGGTTAGCCCACAAGAAGCGTTAAGCATATGCCGTTATAAAATTACTAGTCATGGATAGATATCAAAGCAGATTTGGTAATTACACCTATTATTAAGCCTACAGCTGTAAAACTGTGAAAATGTCAGGTAAAGATGCCTGAAAATCATTGTTAACGGCGTGGCAAACGCTTTAACCCTTAGTCTAGTTGTCCCACACCTCACCTGCAATGCGACAGCAACGTGGTAACAGACCAGACAATCAAGTGATGGTCCAGACAATGCAGTGACACGATTTACTGATTTTGTTGAAACAAAACCCAAAGAGCAATGTTTGAAAATCGCGTAATGGACACGTGTGGTTTTTTTATAAACACGTGCAGAGATCCATGGCCAGTTGTTTATATCAAAAACAGATGTTGAAAATATGTAAATAAAGGATAAAATTGCAGAGATAAATTTCTAAACGTATTAATACGTTCCTCAAATTGGACCGAGTTCGCCAATCTTTATGTGCTTAAAACTTTAAGGAGAATAGACACTCTTTATCACTGTGTCAAAATATCTGTTACCGGACACCACAACCATAGGTATACATTAAGTGCAAACACTAATAAGTGAACATTATGTTTAAAAAGCTGTTGACATCAGCGAGAATGTTTAACGGTTAACAAGGGTGTTAACGGTTCTCAACATCATTGTCACATTTTAGTGTTTTAGGTGTTGGGGACCTTTGCCACTTTGGCCATTTAAAGGATCATGATAGGACCTCTTACCCTATTTCTAAATATCATTCTGGTGTTCCCCGCCGTGATATTGCTGGAATATTGCAAAAACCATCTTAACACTTAACTCAGTCAGTCCAAATATCAAACGCCAAACACTGAAGGAGGTTCTCCTCGTATTCTTTCAATACATGTATTTCCACCTGAATTACGCACTCATAATATTGCAGTGTAATGAATGCGTGAGTATGGTTTTACGCAGCTTTTAGCAAGATTCCAGCAATATCACGGCAAGGGACAAGTGAAAATGGGCTTCACACATTGTACCCATTTTGGGAATAGAACCCGGGTCTTCGGCTTGACGAGCGACCGCTTTAACCACTGGGCTACCCCACCACCCCCTGAGTGTAATAATATAAGTTGCATGTTCTGTCTCATTAAGTATATGAAGGAGGGTATTCTTTTGAGAAGAACATGACATACAATGCAACGAGTGAGTGAGTGAGATCTAACACCGCTTGGAACAACATTCCTACTCTATAACAGCGAGCGAGCTAAATGTGGGGGGTCCGCCTGAAGTGGTGTAGGTATCAGACCAGACTGATGCTTAGTCTCTGAATGTATATAATTTTGATGGAAACAAATAATTTTATTAAAACTGAAAAAGATTCTGTATCTGTGTGTGTGTGTGTGTGTGTGTGTGTGTGTGTGCGTGTGTGTGTGTGTGTGTGTGTGTGTGTGTGTGTGTGTGTGTGTGAGAGAGAGAATTTGTTGGCGGTGTGTGTGGTTTGGGACTTTTTGGAGTATTTTGTGTGTATGTGTGTATGTGTGTGTGTGTGTGTATGTATGTATGTATGTATGTATGTATGTATGTATGTATGTATGTATGTATGTATGTATGTATGTATGTATGTATGTATGTATGTATGTATGCATATATATACACACATATAGACACATGCCTGAAAATGTGTGTGTGCCCACGCACGCACGCACACACACACACACACAATTCTACGTATCTGTTCGTGAGCACTCACAAGTGCATGTGTGTACATGTGCTTGAATGAAAGTGGTCTCCCTTGGGACAAACTTTTCCATTCTCGTTTCAGGTCTGAAATCTGTCCCCGACAGTCTCCGTCTACCGCCAGTATTTCATTGTGGACATTACCATGGAAACCTGTAAACAAGAAGCGTGAAATCAATAACATAAACAGATAAGTAGGTACACTGTTCAGGATTGAATGTGCTAATGATTCGGTTTTTCGATGCTATATCTTTCATGGATCGATTATGTTTCAGCTATATCACGTGTGTTAGCTTAATGTGTGGACAAATCTTGTTGATGAAAGAGCTGCATCGCTGATGGATAAATACATTATATATGGACAAAATACTGCACGGTACTACTGCAAAGACGTACCAGACTACCTGGCGATGAAGGGCGACAACTCAATACTCTGACTGTAGCGTAGACTTTCACTTAGTTTCTGAATATAATTTGTACTATTTCGACATAAACATTTTAAATTTAATTTTAAATTGAAAAGGACCGCTAGTGAGATTGGGGATTCAGAACTGAACCTGAGGAAAATTAGACATGCTTCACTAAGGGCTTTAGAATTGCAGAAAGGGCTTGGGGGGGGGGGTGGGTGATAATGCTGTTCAGGGACTGAGAGACAGACTAGCCGTACTGCTACAGTATCTCCTATACTACAGCTTGTTCAGCTTGACCTGGGGCGGTGGAGTAGCCTAGTGGTTAAAGCGTTGGCTCGTCACGCCGTAGACCCGGGTTCGAATCCCGACATGGGCACAACGTGTGAAGCCCATTTCTGGGTCCCCCGCCGTGATGTTGCTGGAGTATTGCTAAAAGCGGCGTAAAACCAAAACTCAGTCAGTCAGCTTGACCTGATGAATTGCATCACCGTGTCACAACTGGTTGGGTCTATTATTGTGAAGGGGTGCACCTGTGTCAGATGATTGGTGTAAACGAGTGGACTGATTGTTGTGCCCATGTTGAAAATTTGGAAAGCGACTACTGGCTCAGAAATATTGCAGTTGAACAAGAAATAGAAAAAGTGATAATTGAACTGGGTGTAGAGAGTGATAGCGAGAGTGAATCGGATTGTGGAAAAATACCTGACGTCTGCAAGTTGTAAAGTTAGCAAAACAAACTAGATAGCATATGACTGTATAAACAATTCAATTAAAATATGACATCATTGGGGTTTTTCAGAAGTGTTGTTTTCCGGGACAAATTCTGTAACGAATCTATGTATGCATGCTTCGCACGAACGCAACATTAATAACATCCTCTGCAACCCTATTTAATTAAGATAACCCAATCTGCCGTTTGTGCTATTTGACCTCCCGGGTCATGCATAT